TAATTAGGCAAAAATTGTTCCTAATAATTGCTTTAATTTCACTGGTAGCGAATTTACCCCTTTCATTTTTGATATAAGTAATTTCCCTATTACTATTAATGGCAATACCATCCTCTTAGTCCCCTGCTCTGGTAATCTAAATGTTGTTCCAAACTCTTCACTCATTTTCTCTCCCCATATCAAATCTGTTGCCAAGGCCTGTGAATTTTAACCTTCATAACATCTCTTGCATATATGCCCATCTTTCCTTTGATACTGCCTCCAGCCTGGTATGGGCCATTATCATCTTATATTTGGACTATTGCAGTAACTTACTCATTGGTGTGATAGTCACAAATCTATCCCCATTCCACTCCATTCACTCAGGTGTCAAAGTGGTCATACTAAAGAACAGGTCTGACCATGTCACTTTTTTCTCCCTCTACCAACTCAATAAACTCCAGTGGTTCACTCTCCCTTCTAGGATCAAATATAAAATCCTCTGGCATTCAAAGTCCTTCATGCTTCCTCCTATCCTCCTTATCTCCACCTCCTGACGTCTTTCAAGTACCAGCTAGAACTCCACTCTCTACTGGAAGTCTTGCCAAATCCCCCTTAATTCTAGTACCTTCTGCTGTTGATTATTATCTTCTGTTGATTTATTTTGTCTGTAGCTTGTTTGTAAATAGTTGTTTGTATATTGTTTCCCTCATTAGATTATGAGCTCCTTGAGGGCTAGGACTGATTTTTACCTTTCTTTTGTATCTCTAGCTCTTGAAGAGTGCTTGTCACATAGACTATTTTATCCTAGAACCCATAGAGAGCCATTGGAAACTGTTAATTTGGTATGGGCATGGTCGGACCTGTGTCTTCTTCAGTACTTCTTGCATCTGTAATTTAGTCCATATGGGTGCTTCACTCATATGGGTGAAGCTTGTAAGCCCTTCCAGAATTTATCTTTGAGAGTTGCTGTGGTCTCATTTTTGATCATACTATTGCCGAGACGCTTATGAATGTCTTTTGAGTTTAGTTGACCTGGTCCATAGGCAACAGATATATATAATCCTGAGAGGCATAGTGAAGAGTGAGCTGACCTTGAGCTAGAAAGACCCAGGTCAAGTTCTGCTGCTTACGCGTATGTAAGATTCTGTGACCCTCCAGTCGTTCAAACTTTCAATGTTATAGGTGACTGTAAAACTCAAGTTGCAGAGAAGGTACAAATGTATTGGTAGAGAGAGTTTCCTGTATACAAAAATCACAGAGCCAGTCCATATCCTTATATCTTCTGTCACCAGGCATATATTTGAAACATCCAGCTTGGTAGAACCTGCCCGAACTTATACTCTACCAGCATAGCCTTCAAGAACCAAGGGTCACCTCTATTTCACAGTGAAGCATCACAATAGGACTTTAGTGAAAGGCAGCTGCATCAAAGCTCAGTAGGGGAGAAGAGAGACTTCTAGTCATGTGACCAAAGTGACCTATTATAATAGTCTAGGCTGGAGGTGGGGTAGAAGTGGATGCAGTCCTGATCCTGGAGCCAAGAATACTCATCTTCAGATCTGGCCTTAGACCCTAACTAGCTGTGTGACCCTGGGCAAGTCACTTAACTCTGTTTGCCTTAGTTTCTGTATCTGTAAAATGAGCTGGAGAAGGAAATGGCAAACCACTCCAGTATCTTTGCCAAGAAAACCTCAAATGGAGTCACAAAGATTTGAACACAACTAAAAAATGATGTATGAGTGGCTGAACTAGGAGGATGGCTATGCCAATGGAGAAAAGAGATACTGTGGAGGTAGAATTTACAAAAAAATTGTTTACTGATTTGATGTGGGGATTTACAGAGAGCATAGAATTGGGGATGGCTGTGGGATGATGAAAATCTGGGTGACTGAGAAGATGATAAATGACCTTGATAGAAGAAATTAGGAAGTCTGATATAGCGCTGGGTTCAGAGTGAAAGATGTTGACTTCTTTTTTGTACATGTTGACTTTGAGATACTAGTGGCATCCAGATGGAGGTGTCCAGCAAGCATTTGGAGGTGTGTGGCTAGAGTTCAGAAGAAAGATTAGAACTGCACAATATAGATTTGAGAGTCTTCTATATAGAGATGATTGAATGCATGGGATCATCTTGGGACACATCCATACTTAGTGCTGGAGGTAGATGATGAATCCACAAAGGATTGATCAAATAGGTAAGACAAGAATCAGGGGAGAATAGTGGCATGGAAGCATTATTGAGAGTATTTAAGAGAAGGAGGGTTTGATTGACAAAATCATGGAAGATTAGGTTGAAGGAAAGACTATTGGATTTTGGACTTGAGATCATTGGTAACCTTGGAAAGAGCTGTTTTAGTCTAGTTGTGGGGGTGGAGACATAATTGTAAGGTAATGGATGGTGAGGAATTGGAGGCAGTGTAGACAGCTCTTTTTAGGAGTTTGGTAATGAAAGGGAGAAATATATAAGATGATAGCTTGAGATGTTGGGTAGGGTTAAGTAAAGATTTTCATAAGAATTGAGGAAAATTGGGCGTTTTTGTAATAAGCTTTAAGTAAGAAGTGAACAGAATTTCTGTAGTTCTTTTATCTTCTGCAACATGTTGGCTCATCAACTGTAATTATTTTCTGATTGTTTGTGCTGTCAAGAATATTGAAAGATGAGATGACCAAGTATCTTATGGAATGATTCTTTTTGACAGAATACTTCTGCCTACTCTTTTATTTGCCTCTTCAAAGAAGAACCTGTGAGTTATCTTTTCATTTAAATGCAACTTTTTTGTTCTCAGGTTTCATTTATATTTGTATTGGGTATATCAGTATGGATATTGTTCATTTCCACTAATGTGTATTAACTTACAGATCATTGGACAAAAATCTTCTCAGAAATTAAATTGCTAGGTAGACAAAGTAAGTAGTTTAAAAACTGTGTGATTCTTAGCACCATCTGTCTTCTTTTCTGCCATGTTGCTACTACCATCACAGCAGAATGGGTAGAAGAGCACACAGGACTACAAAATTTCCCACCTAGTACAGTGGTTTCCATTTAGTGGTTTTTGACTATAGTCCGAGAGGTTCCTGCTAAAATTCTTTAACAATGCCTTAAGCAATTAAATAATTGTTGAATATTATGAATAGTATATTAAGTTACCCTGGGGATTCACACATTTTTTGTCGTTGTTGTTGAAAAGAGTTCAAAGAACAAAAAAATGTTGGGAACCACTAATGTAGTGTTCAACATTCTTTGATAAACTTTCCTTTACTTAGGCTGGTCCTCAGGTAGCAGACTACATTCTGTTGCTGGACCCAGCCTTGGAGCCATCTCATTTTGGTAGTTTATCAAAGTTTCACTCCTGGAATACAGCCCTCTACACTTGATGAAGCATCAAAGTAAGGTTTTGTATATGTAAAATGAATTGACAAACAATTAAAACATTAATTTTCCTGTGCCACAATTCATTTACCAAATAATTAAGTTCCTAGGAGGCCAATCTTTAGAAGATTTAAATGTTTAACTTTAAGGTATAAGCAAAGAGGGAGCATTCATTGGCTTCATTATATCATCTGATTTACTGTTGACCTTCTCTGGAGATGAAATGATCAATATAATTTTTAATAATTTTTAAAAAAGAAAAATTTAGACTAGAACTGCCCTGTTGGAAAGAACTTAGATTGGCCTATTAGGTTGATGCTCTTTCCCATTCTGCAAAAACATTTGTTTCAAGATACAGTTTTTCCTTATTTTCAATTATAGTTCCACAGAAGAAAATCGATTAGTAATTTCTCTTAACTAACTTGCCAAACTTTTGTTTGAGAGAAGTGTTTGGTTATAAATCGGTTATGAATTGGTAGAGGACACTCTTCTTCTATGGAGACATAATAGAGTCTTTTAAAAATGTCTTTTTCTAAATTTGCTAGCTATCCCTAAAAACAAGAATTTAAAAAGTATACACAAAACTATAAACTCCACTTATTGTGATATAAAATACTCACATATTAACTTTAATAAAATGACAGGAATTCTTTTTGCTTCTGTTCTGGACCAAGATTAGTTCAGGCTGGTCTGTTGGGTTAGGTTCAGGATTAGAATGAAGTCAGACATTTGTTAACCATATGTCTTTCAATAAGAGAAGGTTTACTGAGCAGTAGCATATAAAGAATATTCAGCACAGAATATAGTGTTGGCTTAGTTGGCACAGGTCCATTCACTTATTTGCTAGGATAGTCTGCCAACGAGGGTGTGATGACCCACATAGTAGTTAAGCCTGGTGGGCACCCACTAATTATGTGCTGAGTCTATATGCATTAGGCACTCTACCAGGAAGCTACAAAAAAGTTCAAGCCTCAGTCACCTTGACCAGTTAGCTACCAAGGATGTTTGCTTAAACTTTTGGGGGAAAAACTAGTCTAAAAGAACCATCCATCTTTTTGTTAATAGTAGATGTTATTCCTGCCTCATCTCATCCTTTAAAATATCCTAAAGTTCTTTGAGTTCCTCACGTGGCCTTGCAGCCATAAATCACAAGTACTAGACAGTCTTGGTCTAGAGCTTCTTAAAGCCTTACATAGGTTGGTTGGAGGAAGAGACAAAAGCACCCTCCTACTCCACTCCTCCCCACCAAAAAAAAAAAAAGAAAGAACAGTCCCTGAAGGAACTCGGTTAATCAAGATCAGAAATTCCAGATTTTACCTTTCCCCTTCAGAAGCATTCCCAGATCTTAATAATCCATGTTGTGAGCAGAGAGTAGCTCACAGTGGATCTCCCATTGTAAATAGTCACAAAGTATAAGAACAAGACCAGCAACATCAGAATCACAATACACATGATGATTTTGTCACAGTCATCAATCCTCATTGTGGCTCAGGGACCCCCCCTCCCCCGCAGTGCTTAGAAAGCAAGGCTTCTTCAAATAATTCTGCCAGCTGGTCCAAATCTTTCCTTGAAAGAATTTGTTTAAACAATCTTAGAAAAAAGAATTACCAATTGAGGTAACTTTGAGTCTTTTCCTGGTTCATCTCAGTGATTAGAGGCCTCGAGGTTATGTCAACTCTACATGGGGGAAAAGAAAGGATTGAAGAGGATCAACTGGGAGTGTAAGCAGCCTGTCCTTATCAGCTCAGTCTACTTGGAGTTGGATCCAAGAAGCCACTGGACTGGAGAGGCCATTCTGTATTCCTAGGGTGGTGGATTCATCGTTCAAATGGCTGCTGAGAAGTAGTATATCCAACTCCAGTAACTGGACATGGTGACAAAGATGTTTCAAGAGTCCATTTCATTGTTAGGCCAGGGTTCCTCTTCCAACTCTTCATCTTTGGGCAAAGGTCAGTTATGGGATTGACTGTGAGTACTATTCTGGAAGCAGTGTGGAAAAAGATTATCAGCAAAGATCTATGATGGGCTTTTTTCTGCTGCTGCCTGTGTTGATGATTGCATTGCTGCTTTGCTACTCACTCAGTTGGCTTTGGATCTGAATGGGATGAAACATTATATAACTTAATAAAAGGAAGTTTACTGAATAGCATGGGAAGGATATTTAGTAAAGATACCGTATTATTTCACTTAGGTGGAGCTGCCTTGCCTTAGCATTTGAGTGGTGGTGAGATGAGTATGGAAGACTTGCATGGCAATGAGGAAACCTGTTAAGCCTGAGTAGTGCAGACTATTTCTGTTTTAGGTGATGAGAAAGCAATGCCAAAAGTTCAAGTCTTAATTACTAGGAAATATTAACCTTGTGACAGGTTGCTGTTTGTCCTTCATTCTTGAAGAGGGCCATAACATCAGGGAGGTGTCAGTGAGTTGGATTTAAGTGAGAGAGGGCTATGCAAAGTCATCAGCCTCACTTTCTCCTCCAGAGTCATATGGGTCCATTGGCCAGATATGAATCAGGACAACTGGAGGTGGCCCCGGATGCAGACGGGGGACCTTGGCTTTTTCTTTTTTTTTATTAATTAATAAATTTATTTATTTATTTTTAGTTTTCAACAATCACTTCCATAAGATTTTGAGCTCCAAATTTTCTCCCCATCTTTCCCCTCCTGCCACCCTCAGACAGTGTGTAAATTGATATGGGCTCAACATATACATTCATATTAAACATATTTTCACATTGGTCATGTTGTAAAGAAGCATTAGAACCCGTGGTGGAAACCATGAGAAAGAAGAAACAAAAAAGAGAGAGAGAGAGAGAAAGCAAATAATATGCTTCCATCTGCATTCATACTCCGTAGTTCTTTTGCTGGATGTGGACAGCACTTTCCAACAGGAGTCCTTGGAATTGTCTTAGGTCCCTGCATTGCTAAGAAGAGATAAGTCTATCAAAGTTAGTCATCACACAATCTGGCTGTTTCTGTGTGCAATGTTCTCCTGGTTCTGCTCACTTCAATCAGCATAAGGTCATATAAATCTTTCCAAGTTTTTCTGAAGTCTGCCTGTTCATCATTTCTTATAGCACAGTATTATTCCATTACATTCATATACCACAACTTGTTCAGCCAAATCCGGGACCATGGCCTTTTCAAGCTAAAGTCTTTAACAGGTCTCAGTTTGATTGAGGCAGCACCCATTCAGTGATTAAGGAATGAGGCAAAGAATGGCCTCTTTTAAAAAAAAAAATAGGGGCAGCTAGGTGATGCAGTGGATAAAGCACCAGCCCTGGAGTCAGGAGTACCTGAGTTCAAATCCGACCTCAGACACATAACACTCTCTAGCTGTGTGACCCTGGGCAAGTCACTTAACCCCATTACCTAGCCTCCTCCCCCCCAAAATAGATCTGGGAGAAGACCTTCAGGGTTTCTGGTGAAAGCAGAAACAATTGGTATTTACATTCATTCTGAGCCCAAACTAGGGCCCAAACAGTGACCTAGTAGGGCTTGGTCTGGGACCAGAGTGATTTGGGGTTAAGGCTGTTCTTTAAGAGAAAAAAATGAATTTTTTAGTTATTATGTATTATTATTTAGTTATTTAGTCTTTTTGTAAAGCAATATGGCAGCATCTGAAAGAGAGGTAAAACTGTTGGTATTGTTAACAGCATTTTTATTGAACAAATCTTTAACCTGAAAATGATGAAACAGCAGACCAGAGACAAAGTAGCTGTTTAATTAGTTTCATTATGAGGAACAAATTTGCAAATCGGGAATTATCCCAATCAGAATTCCACAAAGTGAAGACAGAGATTTTATACATAAATAACAAGTAGAAAGGGGGGGTGGAGTTAGATTACAAACATTCATTTCCAGGGCAGTGTTGTTTCCCATGATCAGCCCACAAATTCCACAATCAATAAGGTACAGGTGTCCTAAAGTTCTGTGGCAACAGTATTGTTCAAGTCTTTGGGGGTCATGACTTGGTGGGTCACAGGACCAGGAACAGGTTCTACAGCCCTTGATTCGCTTCACTTCAGATACACAGCCACAAGGAAGCCACTCTGCTCACTTCAATCAGCATAAGGTCATATAAATCTTTCCAAGTTTTTCTGAAGTCTGCCTGTTCATCATTTCTTATAGCACAGTATTATTCCATTACATTCATATACCACAACTTGTTCAGCCAGATCCGGGATTTGAGCTTTGTCAAAGTTTGATTAATCATTTTAAGCTGCATTGTAAATCTTGACTTAAGCTAGAAAAGGCAGTTCTGAGAATCAAATCTATTAGTATATTCATTACACATATTGATTATTATGAAAATCATAATTCCACAGTATTCTTTGATATACTGCTCTCTAACTAATAGAATCCTACACAAAGATTATTTTTCAAAGGAAAAAAGACCTAGCTCTACAAAAATCTTAATAATAACATTATTTGTATCAGCAAAAAAAAAAAAAGAAACAGCTGTTATGCCCCAAATATTGGGAAATTGGGTAGATAATTTGGTATGTGATTGTAGTGGAATATTGAAGATTTTATCACTAGATTTATAGAGCTTGTGGGTTCTATACCCAGACATTGTACCGTTGAAAAATACTAAGACCAGTATTTTATGATAAAATGTTTTACAATTTTAATAGTTATTCTTTAACAAAATGGTAACCATAATGTTATTAATGTGATGGGTGGGTTTGTGTTTTGGTGCAGAGTTTCTCAAAATATGATTTCATTAATGGTATTATTACTCACTTTTTTAAACCACTAATTGAGATCATTATTATGTCTTTAATTTTTAAAATTTATTTTGTTAAATATTTCCCAATGTAAAAAAATTTTTAATAATCATTTTTTAAAATTTTGAGTTCTCAGTTCTCTCCTCCTTGCTCCTCCCCCTTCCTTGAGAAGACAAGCAATTTGATTTTGATTATCCATGTGAGGTCATACAAAAAATATTTCCATATTAGCCATGTTGCAAAAGAAAACACAAACCAAGAAAAAGAATGCTTCATTCCACATTCAGAGTTCATCAGTTCTCTCTCTGGAGGTAGATAGCATTTTTCATCATGGGCCCTTTGGAATTGTCTTGGATCATTGTCTTGATCAGAGTAGCTAAGTTTTTCACAGTTGATCATCCTTACAATATTGCTGTTACTTTGTAAAAGTTCTCCTAGTTTTTCTCACTTCACTTCACTTTTCATGGTTCATATAAATCTTGCCAGGTTTTTTGGAAACTATCCTGCTTGTCATTTCTTATGGCATGATAGTATTCTATCACAATCATATACCATAGCTCATTCGGCTGTTCTCAACTGATGGCCATCCCCTCAATTTCCAATTCTTTGTCATTCCATATTACACAGATATATTATCAACTAAAGTAAAATTTGTGTATCACTTTGATAAATCAGAAAATTCATCATTTACTCATAGTCAAAACATAGTAAGATTATTAGGTTACAAAGACTTCTTTTACTGTACTATCACAAAATAAGTGTTAACTGTACTCATTCAGATGAAGTAAGAGTAAATATATCAAATTTGGTCATGGCAAGATGGGTCCCTTACAGTTTCATATTTAGAAATATCTAGATCTTTATAAAATAAAATGAGAATTGCTTCTATTGACCATTCAATAGAAAAGGGAGCAGAAATGGGAGACAAAGGTAATAAAGGTTCCTAGCATATTATTTGGAAGTCAAGAAAGTCAGGAACAAGACAGGAAAGGAAAGGAAGGAAGGCTAGCCTATGCTCCTTCACAAAAATGAAGGCTTCAGGAGGAACTCATCAATAGGAAAAAGAGGGTGGAGGGATTTTCTATAGTGAGCAGCCCACAGGAGTTGAGTTCCAGGGCAAGGAGGACCCAGGTGTTGAAGGAAGTTCCAGAATGAGACAGAAGAATAGAATCATGATTTTGAAGTCCAGAAAGTCACGATGGGCAGAGGAATGAGCATAATGTGAGAAAATAGAAGTAGTAAATATTTCAATTATGAAGATCTGCCAATTCTATGTCCATAGCATCTATCAAAATTGATTCTATTATCTCTACTCCTATGAAACTACCCAAGAAAATGTAATTATTAACATTTATCTGAACTATTATCAAAACCTCCTAACATCTTCCTGCCTCTAATCTCCTCTAATCTATTCCTTTGTATGCTTCAAGACTAATCTTCCTTATGCATAGATTTGATCATGTCATTCCTTCCCTCAAAAATCTTTCAGGGGCTTTGAATTGGATAATGATTATATTGGAATTCCTTTGCCTGGTATTCAATGCCTTCTACATTCTGGTACCAGTCTACTTTTCCAGCCTTACTTTATGTGATTCTGCTTCACACACTCTTTTGTTGCTGTTCATTCATTTAGTCGTGTTTGACTCTTTGTGACCCCATAGACCATAGGACATCAGGCCCTTCTGTCCTCTACTATCTCCTGAAGCCTGTTCAAGCTCATGTTCGTTGCTTCCATGAAACTATCTATCCATCTCAACTTTTGTAGTTCCCTTCTCCTTTTGCCTTCAGTATTTCCCAACGTCGGAGCCTTTTCTAGTGAGTCCTGTCTTCTTGTTATGTGGCCAAATTATTCAAGCTTCAGTATTTGTCCTTCCAATGCGTAGTCAAAATGAGCATACTCTTTGCTCCAGTTAAATTGGATTGATTATTTTCTGATTTACAAACTTATCCTACACTTTCTTACATTGATGCCTTTGCTATTGTTCTCTATGCTTAAAATGTCCTCCTTGCCCCTCTGTCCATGGAATTCAAACCCATTCTTTAGAATTCCAACTCAAATGCCACTTTTTCCCTGAAGCGTTCCCTCATCCCTTCTGTAAGAAATAACTTTCTATCTTGAATTTCTCATAAATAATATTTTGTTTTAGAAATCTCTAATGTGCTTATTACATAATATGCATTATAAAATATCTGTGTCTGTGTCTTCTTTTCCCTCTAAAATGTAACTTGAGAACAAGGGACCATGTCTTAAACTTTTTATCTCTTCTATAGTGTAGGTGCTTAATGAATGTTCATTGAATAAATGAATGTTTCAGATATTATCGATTGTACAAGTAGCATCTCATCTTAACAGACTCAGTGAAATAAAAATTGTATACATATGTAGTTGTATACATATGTAGTTGAAAATGGAAATGTAATGCTGAAGTATGCAGCCAGGGCTGTTGTTTCTAAGTTAACTACTTCGTTTTCTGTTATTGTTAATGCACCCTAGCTTAACCTTCCCCCTCTTCTTCCACTTTGTTAGTCATCTGCTTTCAATCCTACTTCTATCATTTTTATGGTTCTCAGAGAAAGTACTTATCCCTTTCTCCATGCAAACTTTTGTAAAACATGTCAAGTTTGAAGAATGTTTTGTATTGCATTCAGGTACAGGCATGCCCTACATATTGTTGCCTCAACCCAGTGTTATTTTGCAATAACATTACTAAAATGATATAATGAGATTCTTCTGAATATAGTTTGAATGATTATTGAAGATGCAAATTAGATGGTTAACCATGACCCAGGTTAGTACTAGAGCCCTGCTTGGCACTAACTCACTTGAATTTATTCTAACATTGTTTCATTTAATGTCATTTTTTGGAGGAACCATTTAAAGAACTAGTCTGGGTAGGGCCCATACAGTTAGGCCATGCTAAAACATCTTTGATGAAGAGCTTGACTACTCCATGGATGAGGACTTGTAAAGGGATCTGTTCTACAGGTTTTTTCATTTAATATAATTAATTATAACTAGGTCAGCAAAGAATAATTACTCTGGGCCATCTGCTGGGACATGGAGAATAGCCTTGTTGGTGCTATTATGATGCTGTTTATTAAAATGAGATTGTGTATGATGATGTTTAAAATGTCTCCTTTGCCACATCTAGGTCCATAGCCCAGTTGGTGGCATGTCTGGCAGTAGTTCACGGTCAGGGTCTGTGGGGGGATTGACCATGAAATCACAACTTCAGATCATTGGTAAGTCTTTGAAAAGATAGTCATTTACTTTTTTTCTCTTAAGTTGAAAAATAACATTGAGAGAAGAATAATTTGCCTCTTCTATCTATTTATTAAATATTTTCAAGGTGTAAATTGTGTTTAAATTGTAAAAAGGCCGAACATCATTTGTGTACTGTTATAGCTTCCTCAACTAGATTGTAAGCTCCTCCTGGGCAAGGATGACTCATGTGTCTCTATATTTCCAACAGTACCTAACAGAGGGCCTTGTATTTGGTAAATATTTGTAGATTGGCCTGCTTCTTGTTGAAGAGTTTAACTTTTCGTTTTTTCTACAATAGGTTAATACTAGTATATAAAAAAAATTTTAAGTAAGATTTTGTTCTGCTATTAACTTGCAATGTGACCTTGTCCAAATGCTGCTGACTCTGTCTTTGTAGTGTTTCATTTTTTTCCCTTCTTTCTACTCCCACTGAATCGTCTTAGTTCACATCTTCATCTTCTTCTAGCATTTTGCCTGGACCTCTACTTGGCACTTACTATACTCTTCTTTTGTTTCCTGTTTTATTGTAAATTTCTTGAGAATAGGGTCAGAGTCTTGTAGAGCAGTAGTGTCAAACTCAGATAGAAACTCCCAGAAGACTGCATGTTGACCTAGAAAGTCACAAATTAACTATTTTGTATTGCATTTTTATTCTGATAAACATTTCCCAATTTTTTTCATAATTTTTTTATTCATCTTCTGTTTCTTCAATCATTCAGTCATTATAGTTATCCCAAGTATCCTGCTCCCTCCTGAAGAGCCATCCCATATGATGTATAGTATTTTTTTAGAGGGGAAAAAAACCCCAGCCAACTGATTGATACATTGAAAAGGTCTGAAAATATGCTGTGTGTATAACACCTGTGAATCTCCCACCTCCACAAAGGGGTGGTTTGGGGATGTCCTCTCATATCTCTTCACTTGAGTTCTGCTTGATCTTCATAATTTGTTAATTAATTTTTGATTTTTTTTGGTGTCTAGTTCTTTCCATTTACATTATTGTAATTATTGTGTATATGTTTTCTTGGCTCTGCTTACTTAACTCTGCATCAGTTCATATAGATTTTTATGTGCTTCTCTGTATTCATCCTACATATCATTCTTAGAGCACAGTAATAATACTTCACTACATTCATGTGCCACAATTTGTTTAACCATTCGCTAATTGATGAGCATCTATTTTGTTTCCAATTCTTTATTATCACAAAAAGTGCTATTATAAATATTTTGGTATATATGGGAACTTTCTTCATATTGATGACTTCTTTGGAATATGGGCCTAGCAATAGAATCTCTGGGTCAAAAAATACATAGACATTTCAGACACTTTGTTTAAATAATTCCAAATCGCTTTGCAAATGGTTGTACCATATCACAGCTCTAGCAACAACATATTAGTGTACCTCTTATCTTACAACCCTTTCAACATTGACTTTTGTCATTTTTGCTAATCTGTAAGGTGTGAGGTAAAACCTCTGAGTTGTTTTGATTTGCTTTTCTCTTATAATTAGTGATTTTAGAGCATTCTTTCATGTATTTGTGAATACTTTGCAGTTCTTCTTTTGAGAACTGTTTGTTCATATCCTTTTACTGGCTATCTGTCCCCAGTTATATTTTAAATTGGTTTTTGGTGCACTCAGGCTGCCCTGAGTTTGACACCTCTGTTTTAAAGAGGTAGCTTTATGTGTTAGAATGATAGTCTTGGATTCAGGAAGCCTGGACTTGAATCCCTCCTCAAGATACTTCTCATGTGATCCTGGGCAAAGCACTTAACCTTTCTTCTTCTTAGTTACCATATATGTCACATAGGGATATTAATAGCACCTGTTTCCCAGGGTTGTTGTGAGAATCAAATGAGAATGTATGTAAAGTGCTTTATGAACCTTAAAGTACTATATTGCTGTGAGCCTTTTATGATGATGATGATCCACCCTGAGTTCCTAACAGTTCTTTGCATCAAATAGATGCTTAAGAAAGTATTTTTTTAAAGTGAATTAAAGAATAGGAAAGAGATTTTTTTTTTCTGGACAAATTGTTGGGATTTGATGATCTTGGAGGGAAAAAGGATGAAAGAGAGGAAGACTTCTTCACTCTTTTATGATCCTTCAATGTCTGTTGACATTGTCTGTTGACAAAACCTGCTTCCAGTAGATGTGATTCATACTTTAGAAAAGATTAGGACCACTTGCTTATTTCTAAGGTCTCTCTTTTTAAAAAAAATTTGTCTATCTATTTTTAGTTTTCAACATTCACTTTTATAAGATTTTGAGTTCTAAATATTTTTGCCTTCCTCTCTTTCCCCCTCCCCAAGGTAGCATGCAATCTGATATAGGCTCTACATGTACAATCATATTAAACATATTTCCACGTTAGTCATGTTGTAAAGAAGAATCAGAGCCAAAGGAAATAATCATGAGAAAGACAAAAGGGGGGTGGAAATAGTATGCTTTGATCTGCTTTCAGACTCCATAGTTCTTTCTCTGGATGTGGATAACATTTTCCATCTTTAGTCTTTGGAATTGTCTTAGATCATTGCATTGCTGAGAGGAGCTAAGTCTGTCAAAGTTGGTCATCGCACAGTGTTGCTTTTACTGTGTATGATGTTCCCCTGGTTCTGCTCACTTCACTCAGTATCAGTTCATGTAAGTCTTCACAGGTTTTTCTGAAATCTTCCTGCTTATCATTTCTTATGGAACAGTAGTATTCCATTACATTCATGTACCACAACTTGTTCAGCCATTTCCCAGTTGATGGGCATCCCCTCAATTTCCAGTTTTTTGCCACCACATAAAGAACCTGCTATAAATATTTTTGTATATGTTGGTCCTTTTCCCTTTTTTATGATCTCTTTGGGATACAAATCTAAGGGCTCTCCTAACACCAAGATCCAGTGATTCATTTTCTTGTCAGCTATGATCAAGATACTGCAGAAGAGGGTGGGGTCCAAAATGACTCTTCTGTGTACCTACACATTTCTTTGTTTACCTGGCTAAGTTGGCCAGAATAGCTTTAGGCTGGTTACTCAGGTTCTAATCCTTAAGCATGAGTGATTTTTTAAGAAATAGGAAGTTTAAACTAACGAATGTTGTGTTGAGGTGGCAGTTAGTAAATGGGGCACTTATCTTTGTATAGATGGTTGGGAAGATTTTATTTCAGCTTTGGAAATACCTTCAAGAAGCTTTTTGGTAACAGGAGTGTTTATCATTCATAATTTTTATTAGCACATTTCTCCGTAGTTATTTTGTATCAAAAGCTCAATCAAAGGAACATAGTAATACATATATAATATACTGCCCAACTTTATATAAACATCAGTAAACACTGCAAAGAAAGTCTTCAAAAGTCACTAGGAATGATTCATTAGAAATGCTTAAAAACTTTCAGTGACTTCTCATGGCCTGCAGAAGTGGTCCTTAACCTATTGGTGTTATTAGTTCATCTCTAAGCTTTCATCATGTATATGGAGGGAGAACTGTTGATAGTACTGGGAGAATAGGGAAGCCAAACCCCTCCTCGTCTGTAAAGGGAAGAGGGAAGGAAGCAGTTAAGTAAGTCCTGTTCCTACTAATTTCCTCCTTTTACCTCAAGCTGCTAAATGAAAGCACTTTTCTGAAAAAGTCAGATTCCCACATCTCCCCTTTTTACGTGTTAACCCTGGTCAAACATTGTTTTGGAGGTTCTTAAAGTTATTGTTGAAGAACTAAGAAAGGTTTTTTTGGGGGGGGGGCTAGGCAGTGGGGTTAAGTGACTTGCCCAGGGTCACACAGCTAGTAAGTGTCAAGTGTCTGAGGTCAGATTTGAGCTCAGGTCCTTCTGACTCCAGGGCTGGCAGTCTATCCACTGTGCCACCTAGCTGCCCCAGTAAGAAAGATTTTTAAAAATTCATTTTAATTTTTGAGTTATTTGTGTTGAGGCATCAGAGGGTAGTGGAGTATAAGGAAATGATTGACTTTTATTGCCCCCCTCTGACACTTAAAATCTATGACTATGGACAGATCATGTTACCTCTCTGAGCTACCCTTTTCTTATCTGTAAAATGGGGATAATACCTATAGCATCTACCTCTCCTGGTAGTGTGGGAATCAAATGAGATAATGTATGTAAGTGCTCCACAGACTTTAAAGTGTCATGTTAATTTTTTAGTCGCTATTATCCTATAAAATATCATTTGAATACTTGGTTAAATAAAAAATGATGGCTAACATTTTATAAAATAGATGCATATAATTAGCTATTTCTCTGTGCCTTAAAATTTGAGGATTCCTACATCCTTTTAAAAAAATTCTATCAGAAATTTCCTTTTTCCTTAGATAAAATTACAGAGATTATTTTAATATTACTATGTATATATTTCCTCAGCTATCATTGATTATACCCACAATAAATTATAATTTTAATATCGCTATCATTGAGAGTGATTGTCTCACTGGCCTTGCCTTGTTAGCTTTCCTTAAAAACTTATTTTTTTCTCCTGACTTAATCTATTTCTGTTAGGAGAAGTAATGCCATTCACTCAGTTATTCTGCTCAAAACCTCAGGCTGTTTTTAATTTTTCTCTCCCCCTCACCTCCTACATTTAATTGATTGCCAAGTCTTAATATTTTTTGCATCCATTCCTTCTTATTTCTACTACCACCATCCTAGTCCAGGCCCTTATTACCTTACTTTCCACTTAAGACTACTGAAGTAACCATCTAATTAATCTCTCCATCTCTTTCACACTGCTGACATGTTATGTACAATTCTTCTTCACTCGATTTAAAGCCCTTCAGTGAGTTCCTGTCATCCGCCAAATAAAGTCCCTGCTCAGCCTGGCAATTGAGCTATGAGTAATCTAGTACCACTGTATCATTTTAGCTTTTATTTTACTATGCCTCACAATGAACACTAAGTGTTACTAAATGTGATTACTTGCTCATACATCCTTGTGTTTTCCTGGCTTTGTAACATTGACCATGATATTCCTTATGCCTACATG